TTGAGTGTTTCAGTCAGAAGGCCTGTGCTCAGTGTCTTATCAAGTTGTGTGAGCAAGGAAGGTATCTGATCCTTCTGAACCTGTTTTGTCCTTTATAAGGAGACACCATAATACTTACACATCATAGGTTGTTTGAGAGTAAACAAATTATTCCATTTTATATGCTTCTGTAAATCATTTAGTTTTATAAAAATGGAAAACATAAAGCATTCGATTTTTATTGTTTTATTCTAGTTATTCTCATAGAGAAAATGTAATAGTAAAATTCATCTAATGCTCACCGAGTATCAGACACTACTGAAAGTACTCTAAGATCACTTAGCACTCACAATAATTCTTGTAAGTACTGTCGTTGTTTGCATTATAAAGATGAAGAAGCTGTGGCACAGGTTATGTGATTTGTCCAAGGTCACATACCTATTAATGGCAGAACCAGGCTTCAAATTCAGGCAGTCTGATTCCTAATTTTATATAACCTAGGTATGCTCTGGCAATAAATCAGTAATTCCTATGTTGTATGTATCTCAGTTTTTGCTGATGTTGGCTCTTTGTCTCAGACTTAGCAAGGTTAGGGACCAGCAGATTGCATAATGGTTTCATCACTGGACTCCCACACAGATAACCATGGTTTGAGTCCCAGACCTGGTGGCTTAAAACTCATGCCAGGCATGTGTGTGTGCATGCCGTGTCCTGAGAGGATGAAGGAGAAGGGATTGTGGCATGGCCACCCCCCCCTCCGGCGAATGATTTCTGTCTCAATGGCTAGCACATGTACTCTATAGCAAAAATCTCTCTCTAAAAAAGAAATAATTTTTAAAAAGTATAAAGGTTGAATGTCTTTGTCACAATAACTTCACGCCTAAGCAGGAAGTCCTATATAATTAAAGTGGAAATAAAAGGCAGGCAAGAGCAAAGAGAATACAGAGGTGAAAAATCATTCTTTAAATGGTGGGATGTCCCTACATTGACTGACTTGTAGGGAATACCTGGGCCAGTATAATCTAGGGTATCCCTAAAATACCACTTTTACTGCACCCCGTCACATATTTGGTCCTTACTGACTAATGGTCTGTGAGGCCTTGAAGCTACACTCTGAAGCTTTAGAGAAAGCCGAGTCCGTTTAAATGCTTGGAATCAAAGCCAACCCACGTTGGTGCAGGCAGTAGTTTATCACTCTGCAGTGCTGGAGCCACATGGATGGTGGTAGCTCAGATCCAGGTCAACCTGAAACAAGTAGGCCACACCCACACACTCCTGTGACCTGGCTGGCTAGACGGCGGGCAAGGAGATTGTAGCACGGCCAGAACCTATCAAGGATGCCTGTTTTATCTTGCTCTCTTTCC